GCCCCACAAAGCGGCAGCGTCCCTAGGGCTGCCTGGGGCCCCTCCAGGAGGAGCGGGGAGCATGCCTCTCAAATTAGTGGGGAAGGCTCTGCTCAAGGTATGCGTGACTTCCTCTGGGCATGGGATACTCATACTGGGGAGAGGCCCTTGTCCAGGTTTGTGATGTTTCTGGGGCTGAGATGCAGGGGGAACCTAATTTTTTTGTGTGTACCTACTACCAAGGATGTACTAGTTTGATGTAGTCAAAATGCATCATACATGCTCAATGAATGTGAGCCATTCTTATTACTGTTATTTTGACTAAGGACTGGGAGCTGTGTTTTGAGAGCCTCATGACAACCCTGTATGGCAGAGGCTGAGTCCGCGTTATAGGTCAGGCAACAGGCTTGGCATTGCTGAATGACTTGATGAATGCCACTCCATCCCTTCCTGGGACTGCTGCCCTAACCTTCAGCGAGGGGACAAGGTGATGGTGTGTGAACCAGGCCTTCTAACCAATGGTCTGGGCACACTCAGGAGCCAAATCCTGGAGCTGCTGTCCCCACATCCCCAGCCTGGACCATCAGATGGATCCCGTCAACTGCAGCTACAGGAAGAGAGAGTGAAGTCAGATATCAAGAAGAACTTTTGATTGTAATAGTGTGCACGACCTTGGTCTGCTCACCTAGGGAAGAAAGAGGTGGCTGTTTAGTTGTGACTAAGGCTCTCTTGCATTTTTTTAGAAGAAAGTGTTGGTGATCTGGGATGGATGTGTCTGTGTGTGCCTGTGTGTCAGGGCGGGTAAGGGTGCAGTCTTATCTGGATATGGGAGGAGGGACAAGATGAGCTTTGGAAAGGTAAGCAAATGAGCAGCTTTCGGAACGGCCTGTGGACTGCAAAAGAGGCGAGAAAACCTAATTTTTCAGGCTCTTGTCACCTGTCTCAGGTTGGGTTGACCCCAGGGTCATTGAAGCAGTCCCTGCCCAGCCGGGGGACTCTCCTGCTGTCCACTCCGGGGGAGGAGGACCTGCTGTTGCAATAATGTGCCTGTTTGTCGAGCTGCCTTGCTGTCTCTGGCCCGTGGCCCGGGACTCACAGGCAGGAATGGCTGTTTTCCTCCTGGCGAGTCGGTGTGTAGTGGAGTTTGTGGACAGTCGTACTTTGTGTCGTACTTTGTTTTGGAAAAATCCAGGCTAGTGGGCAGGAAGGAGAGGGGAAGGGGTGTGGCTGAAGGGGGTGCTATGTGGGGGTTGGTGGCAGCCCCCAGAGGAGATGTAGGAATGGGGCTGGGCCTCTGACGTCGGTTGGTCACCAATCTCTGGCTGCCTGAAGAGGCCCCTGGTGTTCACTTACCGACCCTCCTCCCAACTGTACCCCTCTGGGGACCTGGGTTCAGGAAACAGCTTTTCTTTTGGTCCTGAGCTGTTATGTTTGGTCTGTGAGCCTCAAAGGAAGGCAGGGCTCTTCCCACAGAGGCATTGCTTCAAACCAACCCCACCCAGGCTGGGGGTTCCTGCTTCTTGCCTAATGGCAGGGAAGAAGTCAGTAGAACACAGAACCTGGGGTCATAGACCTTGAGCCATCCAGTAGTGTTTGAGTGGTGATTAGCTCTTGCCTGCATTGAGGACCAAGGCAAAAAGAGTTGACTGAATCTGCAGCAGGAAGAATGAGGGTTAGATACCAGGAGGAACTTCCTGACAGTGTGAACAGTAAGACATTGTTTTTGGGAGGCTGTGGAATCTCCTTTCATGGTGCCCTTTCAGCAAAGGAAGGGCTGTGTTTTGGAGGTGAGGACAGGGGAGAGTTCTGTTTGGTGTTTAGAGAGTTGGAGGAAAAGTTCTATAATAGATCTATGTCTTGAGAGGAGCTAGGAAGAAGTTCAAAGCAATGTGGGTAAAGCGCTTTGTGATCCCCAGAGAGGAAAGAATAGGATAACAGGCAGGCAGAGAGCTTATTTTTCTTTTTAAAATAAAGTTTGTCAGGTCCTGTAGTCATTTCCCTAGGGGCTCTGTGGAGTAAGCAGAAGATGATGTGGGCACTGTGCTGTGCCCGTTTTACAGATGAGTAGATGAACCTCTACTCCTCGCACTGGGTCTGTTGACGAGTATCATTGTCCATAGAATATAAGCTCTCTGAGGTCAGGACTTTGCTTCCTTTGTCCTCTGGTGTCTAGATCATGGCCAGGCACACAGCTGGTGGCACTGGGTGAGTGTTTGCTGAATGAGAGAATGAGCGTGAAGATTGGAGGCCCAGGGATGACCGGGTGCCTTGACTTACTCCCACCCTACTTGTAAAAAGCCTACGTGATGAGGCATGCTTCCAGAGGCACCCATCTCTAGCCTCGGGTGAGGTCACCTGTGTTTTTGGAGCAGTAGGGTGTGTTTGCTGACACACCCCCTGCCCCCCCACCCCAGCCCATTTGTTGTTCTCTGAGTTCTGTCTGTCGGTGTTCACCAACACTCAGACGTGTCACCGTTCATGTCTGGTCTCTGCCAGCAATGGTCACGTGCCCCCAAACTTTGCAGAAAACAGGAAGCCCCATCAGTGAGAGGACAGCCCAGTGATTCATCAGGGGATGACAGTCCCAGCTGTTCATCCCGCATCCTCTGCAGGGGGGCCACTGTCCAGGACGGCTTCCTCCCCATGCCTCCCCTTCCCGACCCACCCGGTGAAGCGGAGCGGACTTGGACTTTGCCTTATCACCTCTGGAGGCAGCCTGGTCAGACTCTGTTTGGGCCAAGTTTTTATTTATCTTCGCTGGCTTTTTTGGAGTGGGGAGGCTGAGGAATGTGGAGTGTTGTAATGTTTAGAAGAGGGCAGTGGGGAAACAGGAGCCAGGTCTCCTGCCCTGGTCGTCCTACTCACCCCTGCACCTTTGCAGGCTCCCAGCTCCCTTGGTTCCCCAGTTCCCCCTGCCAAGCCCTTCTCAATATGGTCCATTGTCTTTCTCCAGCTCCCTGGGTCTGGTCCTATGCTCCCGGCCACACCTCCCGCCTTGGCTACCGTTGTGGCTTCCAGTTGTTCAAAGCAGCTGTGGTGGCTTCCTCCAAAAGTGGCTACAGATCAGCAACAGATGAAACCCGAGGGGCTATTTACAGCAGGGTGGCCCTGGGGCCTGGAGCAGGGCCTCGGGCCTGGGGAGATTCAGGGACTCCTCATTAGTGACCAACGGGATGGAGACGGATGAGGTGTTGGGTTTCTGTGTTCCTCTGGGAGGGTAGTTTTGGAACAGCCTGGTTTGGGTCTTGAAAACCAAACACAATCACTCCTTGACTCCCTCCACCCCAGCTCCACCCCTCTCTAATCCCCCCAACCCCTCCCCAAGCCTGACTCATGCAAACTGGAGTCCTTAGGGCCAGAAGAGCTGCAAGACTAAGAAACTTCCCCCGTAGCCCCACTTGGCTCTTCCCTTCTTCACTGCTGCGGGGCTGCTCAGTGCTCCGAGGCAGCTGGAACAGATGGGACAGAGTGGTCTCTGGACAGAGCCTTCTCTCGGATGGCTGGATGGAGGACTCCCATCTTAGCAGAGCTGCTCTAACTTGGGGCTCAGCTGCAAACTGGGCCTTGGAGTCCACCTATCCTGCCTGTTAGGCCCTGCAGGGCCAGGAAAGGGCTGCAGAGGCTCCTCTTCTTAGAGACCCTCAAACCCCAGGTTGGAGTGTGAATCCTGCCTGCCCATCAACTTCCCAGGGACTTGAGGGTGAGTTATTCTGTGCCTCAGTCTCTTCCTTTCTTGTAAGATTGTGGTCCTGTCTCCTCCAAGAAGAGGCTGCAGGAAAAGACCATTTTCTGAGAGGCATATGGGTGTTTGGAAGGTGTCGATGGGCTCAGGAGGTCTGAGAATCTAGAAGCTGGGCATCCTGATTCTGTGTCCTATGAGATGGCTGCAAGGATGGGTGGCTGCTGGAGGTAGAGGCGATGTAGGGTGTAGATTCTCTATAGAGGTGAATGTTTGGTTGTAACTACCCTTTTCATTTTTCTTGATACAAAAGTAACAACAAAAACAACAGGTGTAACCTGGTGAATGCCAGGCTTGATGCGCAGTGCCTTATATGCATAACTCCTTTGGATCCTCCTGTCAGCCTGAAGGTTATCCCCATTTACATGTGATGTTACAAGAGGCCCAGAGGGGTTAAGGAACTGGTAAGGCTGCCCAGCAAGATGCTGGAACCCAAACTCTGTGGTCTGTGGGGCTCCCACCCTGGCTCTCACACCCACCATGCCATCCTGCTTACCCAGGATGTTTTGGGTTAATTTGCTTAAATTTGTACCCCTCAACAGCTGTGAAAATGGGAGTGGGTGAGATGGCCACTGTCTGTCCACAGGCACTGGGCAGTGGGCCCTCAGGAGTGTGGCTCACTGCCTTAGACTTCATCTTGGTTCCTGCATGACCAACCTGAACTCGACTGGTCTCTGAACTCGATTGAATGACTTGGTGTTACTGCTTTCAAGCAGAGAAGTGTGGGGTGATGATGGCAGGACAGAGGGGCACCATCACTCTCATCCCTCCTGTTTCTTTCATGGTGGCGGTCGTATTCTCTTCTTGGGGTTTCTCTTGTGTTGGTGAGTGAATCAAGGTGAAATGTGTTTCCATTGATTCAGTAACTGTCGAATGTGCTCTCAGTGAGGATGGCACTAGCCTGGTGGGGTGTACTCAGCATTCGAGATTTCTTCCTTTCATCCCTCTGGGGCTGGTACACAGGCAGGCACCCTCACGTGGAATCGGTGTTGATGGCTTTGGCTTCAGTCAGGCTGTGTTTTTGCAAGGGTTAAGGTGGCAGGGCTGGAATGTTGGCAGAGAAAGGAGAAGAGGATCATGTTTGCTCTCGTGGACAGCTCTCTGGTGTGCCCCTCCCACCATCCTGCCCACCCCTGCATAATGCTACTTCTCTTCTCTCCTTCCCAGGGCTCCACCAGGGTCACCCCGAGCATCCAGCCCCTTCTCCAACCCATCAGGTATGCCTGGCCCACAGGGGCAGGGGGTGGGGGTGCAAGCAGGGGCATCACTGTGGGTGCTCCTGTCAAGTCTTGCCTCTGGGTCCCCCAGACTGCAGCCATAAAGCCACTGGTGGGGAGCGTGGGCAAATGTGAAAGGCACAAGAGAGGATGCATGCAGATGCCCTTGGCAACAGCTGTGTTTTGAGCTCTTAGCTAGCCCTTGAGCTGAGTCTTTATTTACCTGCATGAGCTCATCTAGTCCTTGCAACAACCCCGCAAGGTATGTATTTTAGTCCCTTTGATAGACGCTGTGTTTCTATGAGATGAGGTGACTTGTAAAGGTCACACAGCCACCAAGAGGCAGCACTTGGATTTGTGTTTAGGGCTGGTGGGCATCGAGGCCTGTGCTGGATCTCTTCCTCTCTGCAGACAGGGGGTTCTAACTGGGCAGAGTCATTTATGAAAGGAAAGTTCCCTATCTGGCTGGTCTGGCAGGGGCCGGCAAAAGAGGATGCACAGTGGACTTTGTGTCTTGGCGACCTGGAGAGTTTGTTTTGCCCCCTCCCTCTCTGCCTCACCTTCACCCACTGAGGCTCCTGAGACAATTGTAAATGCAAGCCCTGGGATAGATTGAAGCCTCTGGCAGTTTCTGGCCTGGCTGCTCGCTGTCCAGACTGGAGGTGGCTCCTTAGAGAATCCCCTTGTTCTTTTAGACCTGGGCAGGTGGGTGCCGAGTGTGATGCATAGCCTGTCCAGTTGGTGACACTGTTCTGCCTTTGCGTCCTTCCCCGGATCCAGCCTGTGGACAGGGGTGGGTCAGTACCCCGGATAGTCCATGTCTGAGTCCTGGCCCTCACCAGCACGGCCCCTCTGGTTCCCCCTCCTGTGCTGAGGGAGAGGCCAAAATCATAGGAGCTTGGCTTGGGAGATTTTCTGACATTCTAGTTTCCTACTTGAAGCCAAGACAGAGAAGCGTTTTGGAAGGCGGGAAGGAGGGATGCTGCAGGTTAGCTGAAGCTCCCTGCCCTCACACCCACTTGCTTGCAGGTATGTGTGCATGTGGTTTCTTGTCCCAGACTGGTTACTGCCTTCTGGGACAAGGTAGTGACCTCGGGTAGGCAGATGGCTTGAACTGTCTTTGGGTAGGAAGATGGCTTGAAATAGGAACTTCACTCCCACAGCTGCAATGAGAAGCTTCCCACAGTGACAAGAAGTGGCCGGGACTCAGAGTCAAAATCTCCTTACCTCTGGCTGCTGGTCCCTGATCCCACTTGGGCCCCTGACATTCCACCAGAGAGGTCCTGCGATGCCTTGCCCTTGGCTGCCCAATCTCCTTGCCCCACCTGGGCTGGGATTGAACCCTGTGGAGCTCTGGATTCTTCATGGCTCCTAGGTGTCTGGGACTTGTTCTCTCTAGTACCAGAGAGCCCTCACCCCCTTTTTTTTTTTTTGAGTCAAAGTCTTGCTCTGTTGCCAAGGCTGGAGTGCAGTGGCACGATCTCGGCTCACTGCAACCTCTGCCTCCCAGATTCAAGTGATCCTCCTGCCTCAGCACCCCCTAGTTGCTGGAATTACAGGTACACACCACCATGCCAGGCTAATTTTTGTATTTTTAGTAGAGACAGGGTTTCACCATGTTGTCCAGGCTGGTCTTGAACTCCTGACCTCAGGTGATCCACCCATCTCAGCCTCCCAAAGTGCTGGGATTAGAGGCATGAGCCACTGTGCCCGGCCTCTCATGACTTTTAAATACTCCGGTGGTATTCCTCCTGCTACCCTCTACTCTCCACTTTATCCCACTGTGGTGAAAAGTTTGCAGAATGAAATGTGAGTGTTGCCTGCATTCAATAGAGGGGAAGCGAGTCATTAGGAGGTTGGCGATGGGGTAAGAAGTTGGAGGGATGGAGGAGGTGCTTCTAAAAGCTAGAGGTGGGCTTCCCCAGTGGGCATCCTGGACCCTTCCTCTGGAAGAAAAGTTGGGAGAGATATAAAGATGTGAGCATTTCCTTTTCTCACCCAATGCCCAGTAGAGAGGGGTGGCCAGCCTGGCGGCCTCCCTACCTCTCCGGGAAATGTGTGGTGCTGGTGGCTGCCTGCCACTACAGCAGCAAGGGCTCAGTGCCCTCTTGTTTCCTGGGCCCTTAGAAATCAGGGAGGCCGCTGCTGCCAAGAATCAGCTCTGGCAGGCAGTGGGAGCTGCCAGAGGTGGGTAGAAGGCCAGAGAACAAAGGGCAGGAGTCAGCCTGCCTCCGGGAGGGCTGGAATGTGTGCTGTGGTCTGGCTTACCAAGAACCCAGCTGAACGTGTCACCTGAGCTGCCCCTTCCTCTGAGAGGTCTCCTGTCCACTCCACAGCTCCATTGCTCAAGAGCAAGGGGCGGGCAGTGGAAGGCTCTTTTCTAGGGCTGGAGAGCGCCCAGCGCAGGCTCTCCTTCCTCTTCCAGAGTGGTCTGGGCTCTTCTGGAGACTTCTGCCTGGCCAGGCAGCCACAGTTTGTTGGGAGCCAGAGCTCCCGGGTTCCTCGGCCAGTCTGGCCCTGACTCTGAGCTCTGGAGTAATAGGTTGAAGGCAGTGCCCAAAGGACGGATGGGAACCAAGAATTGGTGTCATCACAGTTTGGTACTGAAATGACCTGAGGTCTTTGCCAGCCCTATCCAGCTTGTTCTCACTGGAACGCCCACGCAGCCCACATTGGCCTTGCCAGAGGAAGCTCTGGTCTTGGCCTTGGGCCAAAGAGCAGCTAAGCACCCTGGGCTGCATATGGGGGTCACACAGGGTGTGTATGGGGTACAGCTATCTGGGGCCTTCCCTGTGGGCTGGATTTTGATCTGAACCTTCTGCTGCCTGCTGTCTCCCTAGAAACATGAGTGTGAGCCGGGCCATGGAGGACAGCTGTGAGCTGGACCTGGTGTACGTCACGGAGAGGATTATTGCTGTCTCCTTCCCCAGCACAGCCAATGAGGAGAACTTCCGGAGCAACCTCCGCGAGGTGGCCCAGATGCTCAAGTCCAAACATGGAGGCAACTACCTGGTGAGGATGGGGCCTCGCACCTGTTGTCCAGTGCCCTCTGTGCTTCCCTCTACTTGCCACCTCTTCATGGCTGGTGTCCCTGCCACCAGCCCCTGTGCCAGCACATCCTCTTCCCTTTGTTGATCTGCCCTTTCCCCCAGGCAGCTCTCGTGCCTAAGTCTTCAGTCACTCTCCAGCCCAGCTCTATGCTAAGGAGTGTGCTGCAGCTGGAATGCAGCATCTGGATCTCTGTGTGTGCTGGCCAGGAGAAGACAGTAACAGTAAGAGTTCGGGCACTTGCGGATAGCCAGGCCCTGTTCCAACTGCTTTCCACACACTTCACCTTTGCAGCAGCCCTAGCAAGCAGGCACTTGCAGGAGCACAGGGAGGTGGGGCTGTTTGCCTAAGGTTGCAGGATCAGAATGTGGCAGAGCTGGCACAGGGTCAGTGCCTCTGAGAAGTCTGAGGGCCGAGTCTTGGCAACATGCATCTTAAAGGACCCTGGGTTGCTGGTACCTGGCTTGGCCTGGCCCAGAGGAGTTACCTGACACATAGGAGAGAGGTGCTGGTGGTGGTCTCCACTAACGCAGAAAGGTAGATCTGTCCTTGGCCCCAGAGGAGGGCTCAGATCCATTCTACAGGGAGGTGCCTATGGACTGGACCCATGGGTCTGATCTGTACAACTTCAGGTGGCTGCCCCCGGGGTGTTTGAGGTGGGAAGTAGGAGGCTGCCTTCATTTCCCAGGGGCCGGCGTAACAAATGAGGCAGCCCTTTCTATCCACATTTCACCTCTGTGGATTCAACCTACCATGGGTTGAAAATATTCAGAAAAAACTCCAACAGTAAATAACAATAAAAAACAATATAGCAGAACAACCAGTTGCATAGCATTTATATTGTGTTTGGTATTACAGGTAACCTAGAGATGATTTAAAGTATACAGAAGGATATGCATAAGTTACATGCGAATAGTACACTATTTTATATAAGAGGCCTGAGCATCCATGGATTTGGGTATCCACTATCCATGGCGGGGTGAAGGGGTCCTAGACCCAAATGCCCCATAGGCACCAAGGGATGACCGCACCTCAAATCCAGTGTCTCAAAATAACAGAAATTTTTTCTCTCACAGTTCTGGAGGCTGGAAATCTGAAATCAAGGTGTTGGTGGGGCCGTGTTCTCTCTGAATCCCATTGGGGAGAATCCCTTCTTGCCTATTTCTAGCTTTTGGTGGCATTCCTTGGCTTGTAGACCATCACTCCAGTCTCTACCTCCATCTCCACGTGGCCTTCTTCATTGTCTCCTTCTGTGTCTTCTCTTTCTACAAGGACATCAATGGTTGGATTTAGGGCACTCTAGATCCACGTTGATCTCATATTGAGATCCTTAACTACTTATGTTGGCAAAAGCACTATTTCCAAATAAGGTTGCATTCTGAAGTTCTGGGCAGACCTGACTGACATTTTGAGGATACTATTCAACCACTATAGAGACCCATCTGTTAGCTGCATTGGGGCATTGTTAAAAGTCTGGCTTGAAACATCAGAAAGTCCCGGGCTAAAATTCTGGCTCTGCTCTTACTATGTGATCTTGGCCTCACTAAGCCCTAACTTCTGCATCTGTAAAGTGGGTCTAAGACCTACCTCTTTTGGTTGTTGAGAAAATTAAGCCAGCTGTTAGATGTAAAGTCCTTAACACAGGCTGGCAGGTAGTGGACATTCATTGAGTGACGGCCATCATAACATAATAAAGTGTATTTCTTTACAGAGTGTAAGAGTGGGTGAAAATCCATCTAAGATCCTTTCTGATTTCAGGAGTCCAGGGTTCTGTGGGACTTGGTGCCCTGCTACCCTTCTCTTTATCCTGCCTATTCCAGACTGGGCTGCCCCCTTTTCTCCCCAGGCGACAACACAGTGGCCTTTGAGTTTCCCAGGCAGTGGGTTGGAGGTGGGAAGTTCTGCATGCCCCCTTTGGAGGTAGAGGCAGGAATTCCAGAGACTGGGGAATTCCATGGAATGTGGTCAGGCATTGCAGGGCATGTCCTGGAAGAGGCTTGTCAAGGGGCTGATAGGGTCCACCAGGATGGTTTGCCCTTCTGATGGAGGATGTCTGGTGACAGAGAAGTTGCAGCCTCATGGGATGAGGTTCTAAAGTCAACGTGTGATGTGGAAACGAGAGACTGCCAGCTTGTTATCATCTCATACCACTGGATCTCCGTTCAGTGTGGCGAGAGGCAAGTGGGACCAGAGACCAGTTCCATTCCTTCTCGTCTTCTATTCGGGACATCCGCTCACAAGCAGGGTGGCTGAGTGTCCTCATCTCTCTCTCTCCCTTTTCATCCCAAAGACCTACAGTTGAGTTCCTCTTGGTGGCAGTGCATCTGCCAGGACTCACCTGCACGTTCACATATGGATAGAATTTCTATCAGGGGAGAGAGCGAGAGCAGGCACAGGAGGTCCAGGGAGCTCATGGCTGGTTTGTGGCCAGGACCCTCGCTGTGGGAGGACTTCAGCACTCTGCTGGGTGCTGTCGTGGGCTCTTTAGAGGAAGCTGGCGATGATGCCACAGTCCTTCCTGGGACCAGCAGGCTTCCTTGCCATGGTTCTCTCCCCTTGCCACCCTCCTCACCCTCACCTCCTCATGCTGTCTTCCTTTCTCTCCTTCTAGCTGTTCAACCTCTCTGAGCGAAGACCTGACATCACGAAGCTTCACACCAAGGTGAGCCAGGGGCTGTTTTGGGTGGGGGTGGAGAAGGAGGACAGATGGACTCCCTCCCTGGGGTTTCCACATAAGAATCTTGGGGAAAATGCTGTGACAGTGTGAAAAGCCTATTCAGAGTGCCATCTTATATCTGGAAAATGGAAAATGATCTATTTATCGTTTCCGTAATGCAAATTACAGAACACGAAGCTTGGGGCAGTGACTTTCCACCCAGGTCTGCCCACCGGGGAGTACACAGAATCTCATGGGTGAGGCTGGAGTTGTGAGATGTTTAGTTTTTGGATTTAAAGCAGTGGAGTGTCACTGCTTTTGACATTTCTGCTGCTGCTTTTTTTTTTTTTTTAACTGGAGTCTCCCTCTGTCACCCAGGCTGGAGTGCAGTGGCATGATCTCAGCTCACTGCAACCTCCCCCTCCCGGGTTCAAGTGATTCTCCTGCCTCAGCCTTCCGAGTAGCTGGGACTACAGGCATGCGCCACCACGCCCAGCTAATTTTTGTATTTTTGGTAAAGACAGGATTTCGCCATGTTGGCCAGGCTGGTCTCAAACTCCCGGCCTCAGGTGACCCGCCCATTTCAGCCTCCCACAGTGCTGGGATTGCAGGCACTGCTGCGCCTGGCTTGCTGCCGCATTTTACTGTTTGCTCGGGGGCTGCGTGTGGGCTTTGCCATGGGCGTTTGCTCCTGGCTCTGAGTCTGGTGCCTGCTGCTGTGTGGCCCTGGGTGGGTGACATGCTTCTCTGGGTCTCAGCGCGCCCTCTGAAAGTAGCCTGGCTGGATGAGGTGTGCTCCATGAGCCCTTGCAGAGTTCTCTTTTACTTTAAACTTGGTGAGTCTAGAAAGGTTTCGAGAGGCTCGATGCCCGCTATCCAGGTCTGCTCTTTGCACCCTTAAGGCTGCTCTTGGCTGGCCTGAAAAGCAGACAGTTTGTGTGTCCAGGGCCTAGAAAAGAGGCATGAATATCAGACGGCCCTTTGCTTTTTCCTCCTACAGCCTGAGCCAGGCCTCAGGGTTGTCCATGGGAGGAGAGCTTGAGGATAGTGCTTGGGGCCCCAGTACATTGCAGGTCAGTCCTATGGCAGGGACCTGGAGGTCATCAGCTCTAAGCCTTTATTTTTTTTTCTTTTTAACACACATATGGGGAAATTGAGGCTGGAAGAGGACATGAAGCCTAAGGCCCCACAGTGACTCAGTGCCAGGGCCAAGACCTGGGCCGAGGGTCCCTAGTACTGGGTCATGTATGGCCTTTGCCCATCACACCCCTGCCTCCTCGCTGGCCAGTGAACAGGGAGGAACCAAGTCCTGGCAGGAACTAGCAGCTAAGGGCCACTGCCCAGGACTGGCACACGGTGTGTATGGCTCCTGCTGGCTTGGTTGGCTCTACAGGGCTTTTGCCCTCTTCTCACTTATGACTTGGGCTGCAGGTACTGGAATTTGGCTGGCCTGACCTCCACACCCCAGCCCTGGAGAAGATCTGCAGCATCTGTAAGGCCATGGACACCTGGCTCAATGCAGACCCCCATAATGTCATTGTTCTTCACAACAAGGTCAGAGCTGTGGCGTGTGTGTGTGTGTGTGCGCGCGTGCATGCACGTGCGTGTGTGTGTCTGACTGTGTCCTTGGATGACTGTGTGTACCTGCCTGTATCTTTGGATTTTGTGAGCATGCAATGTGGGGGACATCAGCTTATGTCCACAGCAGTGGATGATGGATGATCAGCTGTGTTTCTTTTGAGACTCAGCCCCCCACCTGCTTCCCTCCCCTGGGGCCCCTTCCTCTTTATGGTTTTCCTTAAATCCACATCCCTCTCTCCAGCCCTGACACCTTTCCACAAAGGCTTCTAGATAAGCTCCGGTGCAGCAGGACTGGCTTTGGAAATAAATGCTTTTGTGTTTTGGGGCTCTTTCAGGGAAACCGAGGCAGGATAGGAGTTGTCATAGCGGCTTACATGCACTACAGCAACATTTCTGCCAGGTAAGAGGGGCCTGGAACCTCCCATCCCCTGAACATTGACAGTGTGACCCCCCTCCTCTCATCCACCCACAGCCTCTCTGTTCGCTGGAGTGAGGAGATAAGCACAGAAGGAACGAAAGAGGACAGGTGCAGGGGCCCCCAGCTCGGAGGAGGACCTGTGGACAGAGGATGGGAGGGAGGAGAGTCCACTTCTCTATCTGGGGTTCTGGTGGGCAGCCTTGGGAGGCAGGCCCTGTCATGAGCACCCCGTGCAGCCAGTTCCTCAGAGCCACTTTTCCTTGCCAAATAGTCTTCTTTTTCCCTGGGCCAGCAGGAAGGGAGTCAGAAAGAAATGTCAAATCAGAGCTGGGCTGGCAGAACAATTACAGGTTATGTCATCCATTCCTCTGCCTCTGGACAGCAGGCCCCTCTTCCTACCTAGGTGTTTGGAACAAGAATAAAGATCATCCAGTCACCGACTCCCTTTCTGAGCCTGCTTTGCAGGGAGGCAAAGGGATTCACCCCTTTGTTTTGTTATTCATTCAACAAGGAATATGGCCGGGCGCGGTGGCTCACACCTAAAATCCTAGCACTTTGAGAGGTCGAGGCAGGCAGATCACTTGAGGTCAGGAGTTCGAGACCAGCCTGGCAAACATGTGAAACTCCATCTCTACTAAAGGGTCTGGTGGGGCGGGTGCCTATAATCCTGGCTACTCAGGAAGCTGAGGCAGGAGAATCCCTTGAACCTGGCAGGCAGAGGTTGCAGTGTGCTGAGATCGTGCCACTGTACTCTAGCCTGGGTGACAGAGGGAAACTCTGTCTCAAAAAAAGGAAAGAAAGAAAGGAAGGAAGGAGGGAGGGAGGGAAGGAAGGAGGGACGGAAAGAAGGAAGAAGGAAGGAAGGAAGGAAGGAAGGAAGGAAGGAAGGAAGGAAGGAAGGACCAATAAATATTGGACAACCACTGTGCCAGGCTCTGTTCTAGGTGCTGGGAATGCAGCAGAGGGCAAAGCCAGGCCACTGCCTTCATGGGCATTAAACACGTAAACAAATGCCTTAGTAACAGCAGGTGATGATTATCATGAAAGAATAAAGGGACTCGAGAAGGGCAGTGGTGAGGAGGCACGTGGTCCAAGAAGGCCTCTTGACAAGGCAACACTGGAGCAGAGACCTGAATGACCAGGATGGGAAGGGCTGAGTCATGTCAAGCCTGCAGGATGAGTCCTTCACACTGAGAGAAGAGGAAGGATGGGAATGCGAGGGGCTGGGGTGTTTGAAGATGAGCAAGCGGGGGAAGAGGAAGAGGAAGGGAAGCTGGGAGATGGCAGAGCCATGGAGCCTCGTGGCCTCACTGAGGACTTTGGAGTTTGCTCTAAGGGTGATGGGAAGTCACTGGAGCCTTGTGATCTTTTCATTTCAAAGCAATTTCTCTGAGTGCTCTGTGAGGATGGGTAGAATATTCTGTGGAAGGCCTGCTGTAGTTTTAGGACTTTGAGCAACCCAGTGTTATCTTTGCTTAATGATGTGCAAAGATGAGGCTGCACCCCTGCTGCACTCCTGTATCCCTACTGTGTGCCACATGTGCCAAGCTCTTTATGGATGTTCCCTTGCTTCATCTCCATAGTCACTTTTGAGGAAGGGGGCAATTCTCACCCTCATTTGTGAGGAGAATGAAGTTCAGAGAGATTCCGGAAGTTGTGCCAGGACACGGGGCTCATAAGTGGTAGTCCGGAGATGGGATCCCAGGCTGCTGAGCTTTAAAGCCCTGGGCTGAGTGCTGCCCTGCACAGGATGGACAGATGCTGAAGCACTCTTTTCCTGAAAACTTTTCAGCACAGGACGGTAGGGGGAAGAGGCTTGTCTGCCCTCTAGGACAAGGGCTGGCTGGAGGGCTCTGCAGGTCTGAGGGAGCAGGGTTGGGGAAAACAAGGGGCTCTTGGACACAGGAGTTGCCTCTTTTGACCATCTGTCTCTCCCTGCAGTGCGGACCAGGCTCTGGACCGGTTTGCGATGAAACGGTTCTATGAGGATAAGATCGTGCCCATTGGCCAGCCATCCCAAAGAAGGTGGGTCTCTGGGGCTCGCATGTATGTGTGCAGTCATATGGGACTAGACTTGGGTACCCAAAGGGATGGGATAGTTGTGCCTAGGTGGGGATGTGCCAGTGCATGTTTTCAGATGCCAGCCTGTAGTGGTGTGAGCTCAGGCACACAGGAGAGCCTGGGAGCCAGCCTGTGGTGTGTGCCCCCAGGTTGGCATGGCAGTTGGCTCTGAGGCCTGTGCTAGGGAGCAGTGCAACAGTTGTGGGGAAGCATCGGTCTGGGGATAAGAAGGTGCTGGTATAGGAAGGCGTGTGCTGTTCTGGAGGCAGGATTGCTTCAGTGCTTGGATGAGTCTACAGGAGACTGCGTCACTGCCTCCTGCTGTGGGAGGTCAGAGACTCATGATAAGGGTCACCTTCTGTTGGGAGAGTTTAGATAGTTTTACTGAGAGCTTTCAACCACATGATCTCATTGGAGTCTCACAATAGCCCAGGCAGAAAGCAGGGCAGGGATAGATTTATTCATTCAGCAAAATTCATATCATCTACTATGGCTCCAAGCGCTGAGTTATCTAGGCGAACAGGACAGAGTCCTTTCCCTTGGTGAGCTGATATCTAATGAGAGATGGACATGAAACAAATAACCATACAAACAAGATAATGTCAGATAGTGACGAGGCTAGAAAACAAAGAGAATAGGGCGCTGCAGACATGAAAACTCATAGGAGAGGAACGGGGCTCTTTTAATGGGGATGGTCAGGGAACACCTCATAGAGGAGGTGAATTTGAGCCTAAACTGGAATCATGGTGAGCTATCATGTGACAATCTAGGCATCCCATTTAGCAGATGAGAAGCTGGGCCAAGGCAGGGGGCATGGCCACGGTCTATAGCGAGTAGTGGCAGAACTGGAAAGTACGTGAAGCCCTGGCAATGCCTGGGCTAGGGCAGTGCCCCCCGGTTGTGTGACCCCCCTGTCCTGAGGGATCTTGCTCTGTGTGTGACATGTTGCTCAATGATATCCATGGGAAGGCACAGGCAGCATCAGGGACAGGTGGTCTTAAGGAGAGGCTGCAGCCAGGGTGGTGGGAAACCCAAGCCTGAGCTGGAGACCTGGACGGTAGCTCTGTTTGCTGCTAGGGGTCATGGGCCGGCCACCTGCTGTAATGTCAGTGCCATTCTGCCCACTGGAGACATGGTACTGAATCTGCCAGGCAAGGGTTTATGGAGCTCAGCTCCTAGTAGATGCACACAAGGAAGCAATCTAGATAGCCATGAGAGCTGCGAAGAAAAAAGCAAACCATAAGGGCTAGGGCTAGAGAGTGGTGGGGATGGCAAGAGGGCTGATTCAAAGGGAAGGGCCTTCTGAGAAGGTGACCTGTAACGTGATATCTGGGTGGGGAGAAGAAAGCCTCCAAGGGAAGGCCTGGGGTGAAGGATACAGAGGGAATAGCACCGAGTACAAGGGCCTGGAGGCCAAAGCATCCTGTTTGCCTTTCTAGCCCCTGAACACACTGACTGGGCCAACAAGGGCCTAGAGCTGCAGATCCTGGAGCTCTCCAGCCCCACCATGCTGAGGGTCCCAACACATACTGCATCACCCCACCTTGCTTGACTGGCAGGAACTGTGCTATCCCGGTGGGGGCTATCCCCGCCCTTATAATGGGAAGCCCAAGAAGTGAGTGAGTCTTCAGGCAATTCAGCATCTTACAGTTAGCACAAAACAGTTGCTAGTCAGCCTCAGAGTCAGCAATCAGACATGGGATGTCTTTATGTGCAGACAATTCTGGCTAGGCCCCAGACAGCAGACGTGGATCAATGAGAGTCTTCCCAGGGAAGAAAGAACAATTGGTCAAGCACTGCCTTCTCAGTCTCTGGCTTGCCATGTGTGTCTGCTGACCCTGATCATGGTGTGGCCTTCGACCTTGAAGGATAAGGTTACTAAGAGAGAAGGATGCTGTTCCAATGGCACAGTGTGGTTTGGAGAGAATGGGCAGAGAGTCGCATCTCTGAGGCTGAGCAGTGAAGGCCTGGAGGCTGGAGATCAGTGTCACCTCTCAGGAATAGGATTATCTGGGGATTCCCTGGTGTATTAGTCCATTTTCATTCTGCTGATAAAGACATACCTGAGACTGGGCAATTTACAAAAGAAAGAGGTTTAATGCACTCACAGTTCCGCGTGGCTGGGGAGGTCTCATAATCATGGCAGAAGGTGAAAGGCATGTCTCACATGGCAGCAGACAAGAGAAGAGGGAGAGCCAAGTAAAAGGGGTTTCCCCTTATAAACCATCAGATCTTATGAGACTTATTCACTACCACGAGAACAGTATGGGGGAAATTGCCTCCATGATTCAGTTATCTCCTGCTGGATCCCTCCCACAACGTGAGGAAACTATGGGAGCTACACGTCAAGATGAGATTTGGGTGGGGATGCGGCCAAACCATATCACCTAATGTTCAATATGTGCTTGCATAGCATGCAGTTGGGGGCGTGTCTCTGTGGGTGTGTACACTACCAGTGTCTGCCTGTCTCCTATCCGACGCTGCCTCTGCTTGTGGGTAGGTCACCTCTCTGAGCCCAGATGTGAAAATGCAACTGTGGATTTACTATGCATTTGTTGCCGTTTTCCTGCCTTCTTGTCAGTGTCACTTGCAGGGAATGAAGCAGATGGAGGAGAGGAGGGCAGGGAAAGAGAGGGAACGGCTTTGCCTGTAGCTCTCTCATTCATTGTTACCCGCCCCCGGACTCATTGTCCCCAGAACACAGACATATCCTGTTGGCGTGATCCAGAGATCTGATAGGAACCGCTATTCCAGGTTTCCGGCTTGAGTAATGGGGCAGGGGGCTGGACAGGGGCCTGAATAGGAGCGGGTGCTGCCCATCAGATTATCTTGCTTGAGTAGTCTGAAGAGGCCCCACCCGAGCCCAAGGACAGAGGCCCACAGGCCTGGAGGGGGGCCAAGGAGCCAAGAGACAGGAGGGGGTCTTATCATGGTCATGTGGGCTCCAGTTCCACCCTCCTCAAAGAGCTGCTATTGGCTTCTGCAGAGCATCAGAATACATTCTGCCTCAGCTTGGTATTCCCTGGCCAATCAGAAAAGGGAAAGTGCTGACCAATTGACACAGAAGGACTGATCTCTAGTTTATTGGGTAGATATATTGGAGCCCAGATTTCTTTCCTGCTCTCACCATCCACTCCCAGCTTTGTGTGTTCTTGCTGTGTGTCTCTGGAGTGCAGTGGCCCTTTTTGGACTTTATTTATCCTCTCTGTCTAGAAGGAGAGGGTGTGAGCTAGTCCTTCCATTCTTCCAGCAGATCTTTGTTAAAGAATTGAGTGATGTTGACCCTCGAGATAGGAATACTTATTAGAAGCTAGTTACCTCAAATACCAAATAAACTCAAGGATACAGAGGGACTTCAGGTACTTTAGTGTGATATAGAGAAAGTGAAAAACTACATTTATTAAAGTCTTGCTCACTATTTGCTAGACTATCACTTGTGGCTGCTGGATCTGTGGGCAGAACTGGGGCTGTGAGTATAAGCGCAAGCTTGGTTTGAGCTTTGTGTGTTTTCTCATTAGCTGCTTGGTGGTTGGGTCTGCCTTGTGCAGCTAAATGAAGCTTGTCAGGGATGTGGGTGGAAATTTTGGTCCAGCAGAAGATTCTTGGGCTGGGAGTGAAGCAGGAAAGAGATGTTCATGTTGACCACCAGAGGGCGGTAGCAAACTCCAAGTGGGATGTTTGGCTTGGCCCAGCTATAGGTCTGGTATCCCTGCTCTCTTCCTACCTGGGGCTCCCAGCAGGCAGGCAGATCTGGGAGGGAGGCCTGTCTGGGGAGGGGATCATGTTGGTTAGGGAGAGGATACAGTCGGTGAGCAGCCTAGGGCAATGTTCTTGGAGAAGAGAGAACAGGGATGACTGCGTCAGCACAGACCTCTCTCCCTGAAGCTGCTTCTCCCACCCTCACAGGTACGTGCATTACTTCAGCGGCCTGCTCTCCGGCTCCATCAAAATGAACAACAAGCCCTTGTTTCTACACCACGTGATCATGCATGGCATCCCCAACTTTGAGTCTAAAGGAGGTATCTACCTTGAGCCCTCTGTCCTCCACTCCTGCCAACTCCTCTCTCTCATCTTCCATCTTCTCATCTAAGAGGCAACCGTGGATAGTAACAAACAGTGCAAGAGCTGCAGAGTCGTAAGGCTCTCACTGGACTCTCAAGTGCTTTGCTTCCTGAACTTTTCTAAGCCCCAATCTATTCATTTGCAAAATGGATTTGATATTTGCAGTGCCTGCTGGCCAATGATATTGGATGGGCAATGTTTTTATAATTTAAATTGCTTTACAAGTGAAAAGTTGGTATTTCTTCCCCTTTCTGCTTCCTCTTTTTCTCTTTCCTCTTTTCCTCCTTCCCCTTCTACCTCTCCTTCCCCTATCCATCCATCCATCCACCCACCCACCTACCCACCCGTCCATCTACCCATCCAACCATTCATCCTTCCTTTCTCTCTTTCTCCCTTTACTCTCACCTCTCCCCCTCCTGCCTGTCAGTTTCTGCTGTCTTAGCTAACACCCACCCTACCCTTATAGGATGTCGGCCGTTTCTCCGCATCTACCAGGCCATGCAACCTGTATACACGTCTGGCATCTAGTAAGTATTACATGGGAATAAGAGGCCAGGGATGCTCAAGGCCCAGGGCTAAGGACCAGGGCAGGAGGGTGGGGAGAGGAGAGAGTTTTCTCAAGAGGCATGAAAGGACAGTATCGAGGTTTCCCACTAACCCTGTGGCATAGGGGCAGTAGGGAGAAAACACCCCTCCCTCATCTCCCCTCCAGCAGCCCTCTTTTTCTGCTTGCCTCTCTCCCTTAGCAACATCCCAGGAGACAGCCAGACCAGCGTCTGCATTACCATTGAGCCAGGATTGCTCTTGAAGGGAGACATCTTGGTGAGTGCTGTCCCTCTGTCTAAAGCCCTATCCTTGTTTATTTTTTCTCGCTTCTTTTCTCTTCTTACTCCCTTCCTGCCTCAAGACAGCTACTCCTCCTGGGCTGCCAGGCCTGGAACCACAGGCTCTCAGGGCTCTTGCAACACCTTCCAGTCTCACACAGTTCATGTCTCTTACTCTGGGCTTAGCTATTGTTCTGGAGCATCTCCAGGGAAATAGCACTCAGTGTGAGCTGTTGCCTCCTGGCTTCTGATTGGCGACAATGACTCTCTGAATTCTAACTTCAGTCCTTCCTAAATCCATCTTACTTTTTTGCACTCTGAGTTGTATGCAGTAACTTCTTGGGAGGACATTTTTGTCCCCAAAGGCCAAGACTGGCCTCCAATTCCCTGCTGTTCTAGATGTTTCCCCACAGAACTCTGAGATCCTGTTTGGTGCTGATGAGCTCTCCCTCACTGGGTTTGGGGTGAGCCTCGGGGGCTCAGTCAGTGGAGCTGATAAGGAGGCTCCCTGGGACCTGACCTCCCAGCCTCAGGCCCCTGACTGGCTCTGCCCATCTTCCCACCCAGCTGAAGTGCTACCACAAGAAGTTCCGAAGCCCAGCTCGAGACGTCATCTTCCGTGTGCAGTTCCACACCTGTGCCATCCACGACCTGGGGGTTGTCTTTGGGAAGGAGGACCTTGATGATGCTTTCAAAGGTGGGCTCCTTGAGTGGGGCTTGGGGTGGGCACCCCTGTGGTAGGGAGAGGAGCTCAGTTTGAGAGGATATGGTGGGTATGGGGACCATCTTTTCTGAGCCACTTGGTCTGCCTAGTCTCAGGGTGATGGTGGGAGAGAGTTGAGAGAGACTTGGGACAGAGTTGATGTTGGGATGGCCTCGGAATTCCATAGCAGAAGTGGAGGTAATTCTTTCCAGTCCTTGGGCTATTTTATATCTTCTAGCCTTCTATGACTTTCCCTGTCTTCCCTTCATCTTGTCCTCCCAGTTTGTCACATGTCCTATTGACAATGATTTTTTTTCGACATTCATTGGGCATCTGCTTTGTGCTAGGATCTGAGCCAAGTGCCAGGGATTCAAAGTAAAACATGACATGGTCTCTGCCTTGGCAGCGCTCAAATATCTTGAGTTGGGAGGCAGACTAGCAGGGGATAATTACCCTGCAGGACAGAAGAGCAATAGTGAAGGGCTGTGGCAGCAGTGCGGGGGAACCATTTTCTGAGAAAAGAAGAGGAGGTTGGGAAAGGTTTGGTGTTTTCTTTTTACTTCTTTCTTTTATTCATTGGAAGTTGTATACGTATTACCTTCATGCCTGGGACATATAAATGCACATTTATTTACCCATCTGTCTGTCCATCTACCAGTCTGTCCTTATATCCATCCATCCATCCATCCATCCATCCATCCATCCATCCACCCACCCACCCACCCGTCTATCTATTCATCCACCTATTCATCCATTCATTAATCCATCCCTTCCTTCATCTATCCATCTAGCCATATATTCATTCATCTATCCACCCATCCATCTGTCCATCCATCCACCCACCCACCCATCTACCCATTCATCCATCCATTAATCCATTCCTTCATTCATCTATTAATCTATCTATTCATCCATCCACCCACGCACCCACCCACCAAGCATCACTTGTGTGTTGGTCATGTGCTAGATCCATCCATCCATCCATCCATCCATCCATCCATTCATTCACCCACCCACCAAGCATCACTTGTGTGTCTATATGTGTTGGGCATGTGCTAGACTTTATAGATATGAACAGAAAGAAGTCAGGCCTACCCTCAGGGAGTTCACAGTTTCCTCACTGAGAGACATGCAAACATGGTGCTATGAAGCGATGCCTGCAGTGATGGAGATATGCACGGGCATGATAGGTGTCCCACGGAGCAGATGCCATCCTTGCTGTAACTGCTTTTCCTACAAGCAGCAGGCAATGATCTGTGTCCAGAGTGGGCTCAGCCAGAGAAATACAGGACCTGGGGCATGGAGGAGGGTCCAGGTCTCCTCAGTGTAGTCTGGCTCATGTAGAAGGGTGTTTCTTTAATGAACTCTCCTTGCACTGGAGCCAGAAGATGCTATCATAATTACAGTACAGAATGTAAATGATAATAGTCTTAACAAGGACAAATGAAGGCATACCTGATCAAATAAATAAGGGGTTGGGCAGAAGTTGAGAGAAGGGAGGGTCACAGATTTCCTCCTCCTTCGTAGTGTGAATCAGGAGACACCACTGAAAATAGATCAATACATAGAGGAATGACAGGCATGGTGGTTCATACCTGTAATCCCAGCTCTTTGGGAGGCCAAGGCAGAAGGATTGCTTGAGGCCAGGAGTTTAAGGCTAGCCTGGTAAGCATAGTGAGATCCCGTCTCTACAAAAAATAAAAAAAAGTTAGCTAGGTGTGGTTGTCTGTGCCTGTCATCCAAGTGATTCCAGGGCCTGAGGCAGGAGGATCACTTGAGCCCAAGAGTTCAAGGCTGCAGTGAGCTGTGATTGCACCACTGCGTGGGCGACAGAGTGAGACATGGTCTCTAAAAAAAGGAAAATAGAGGCTTAACCATCTTATTTAAGGGTTCAAAGATAATCCATAGAATAAATAAAAACAATAATCAGATTAAAGAAGAAAGGAAGTGGGGGTAGTGGTATAAGTGAACCAAATTGTTCATATTCATAGTGGTCAATCAATAGAGGCTATTTAAAACTGATGTCTGGCTGGCCGTGGTAGCTCATGCCTGTAGTCCTGGCACTTTGGGGGGCTGAGGCAGGTGGATTGCTTGAGCCCAGGGGTTCAAGACCAGCCTTGGCAATACAGCAAAACTCTGGCTCTATAAAAAAATACAAAAATGAGCTGGGCGTGGTGGCTTGCACCTGTAGTGCCAGTTACTCTGGAGGCAGAGATGGGAGGATCATTTCAGCTTGGGAGATTGAGGCTGCAGTGAGCTGTGATTGCACCACTGTACTCCATCTAGGGCAACAGAGCAAGACCCTGTCTGAAAAATATAAATATACACTCCAGCCTGGGTGACAGAGTGAATGAGACTCCATCTCAAAATAAATAAATAAATACATAAATAAAATAAAATAAACTTGGTACCTAGAAATAGTGGCATAGAAATAATGGCTGTTATTTAGACTCTTAGAGGTAAATTGCTGGTAGAAAAGAAATGTAAATGGTCAGAAGCAGTTACCTCATTACCTCAGGCAAGTAGGACAGGGGCTAGAGTGAGCAGGAGATTTAATTTCATTGTATAGATATAATTTCATGTATATATGTAAAAATATAAATATGCTTTGATGATTATTATATTATTAACCGTGTACATATGTGGTATTTTAACTTTTTCTAGAAGAAAACTTTTTATGGAATCCTTTTTGGGACTTTTTGCCCATTTTTGTTTTTCCTTCTCTTTTTTCAGATGATCGATTTCCAGAATATGGCAAAGTGGAGTTTGTATTTTCTTACGGACCAGAGAAAATTCAAGGTATAAGCCAAGTTAGAATTCATTCTCTCACTCCTTCTCTGTATCCTGACCCTGTCCCCACCACCCTCCCACCCCCGGTCTGTTCCACAACGATCAACTTATCTTTGAGAGGCAGGCCATCAGTAAAGGATCTGGGTTTCAGAGTGGACCCCTAGCTAAACATGAACCAGTGGCTTAATCTCTGGATAATAAAAATAAAAAAGCAGACAGAGAGGCGCTGGGCTGGATAAACTGTTCTGGTTCCCTTAGGTCATCAGCCTGTTATATTCAGAGACTGAGGGCCACAGTAGATGGAGGGTGTGGCTGGCGGGGAGGGGGCACTCAAAGGTGCTGGATAGATGAGTATTTATGAGAACTGAGGTGATTCAACCTGAAGGCCAGTTTAATAATAACCTTTAAGCCTCCAGACTGGTTATAAGTGGAGACCAGTTGTTCACCATCTTATTTGAGAATGGAATGAAAGGAGATGAAGTTAGGTTATGGGCGGAGAGACCCTGGATGGACTACGGAAAGGACTGCCAAGCCAGGAAGGGAACTCACCCTGAAAGGCTTGACTGGCCGCTGTACTGTCTTTGAGCTGGGTTTAAAAAACATTTATTTACTTATTTTTAAATTTTACTTAAAGTTCTGGAATACATCTGCTGAATGTGCAGGTTTGTTACATGGGTATACACGTGCCATGGTGGTTTGCTGCACCTATCAACCAGTCATCTAGGGTTTAAACTCTGCATGCATTAGGTATTTGTCCTAATGTCGAGCTGGGTTTTCTGCAGGTGGCTAGGAGACTCTGCCGTGCCCCCTAGGTTTCTGTCCAGAGTGGAGGGAATTTTAAGAGTGGGGCAGGGCTATGCCTGGGAGGACCTTTTGGAGGGTCTATGCCCTTTCAATGTCAGGGCTGTGATTTCCCTGCTGTCCTTGACCCCATGTAGCTCATAACCAGCCTGTCCCCCACCCCCAGCGTCTGACTCCAGGGGCAGACTTTCTAGTCTCTTGGCACTGCCTCAGGAGCCCTGGGGACACAGAAGAGAAAGAGGCAGACACCCAGCCAGGGGTCCTCCCCGCTTTCTTCTAGGGGGTCTTCATTCTTCAGTGCCTGTCCTGATTTACCCCTATGACCTGGCATGAGCCTTTTCAAGAATGTAAGAAACTAGACTCCCAGTTCTCCGTCCAGCTTAAGCCACTGGTCCCGCCGGCCATGCCCAAGAAAACGAGAAGTCCCTCAGGGAGCATTCTTTGGGGAACTTGTGGGCTTTCTCTGTTTTTCCAGCTGCTGATCTCTTTTCCCTCTCCACACTGTCTCTCTGCCTGCCCCTGCCTTTCCCATCCCTCTTAGGTATGGAGCACCTGGAGAATGGGCCTAGCGTGTCTGTGGACTATAACACCTCCGATCCCCTCATCCGCTGGGACTCTTATGACAACTTCAGTGGGCATCGAGATGACGGCATGGAGGGTAGGTGGGACCCAGTGGCTCCCAGCCCCTCTCCAGACTGCACAGCCTCTGCACACATGACCTTGCTTCTCTTGGTCTGCTGTCAAGAGATCTGGGTTTGAGAGGAGGCAGAGGGGAAGTCAGAGGCATGTCGGAGAGCTCATAGTTCACTGGGGGACGATATGGCACATATATGAATGTATTAAATATTAAAACGGGGATAGAGCCAAAGAGTACGGCAACATGGCCACCAGGGGGTTATCATGGAAGTTTATTGCTGCAGCCAAATCGGTTTCGTGGACAGTGAGTTCTCTGGGATTGGCAGGGGAGGGATTTTGAGAGCTGGAGTGGTCTGGGAAGGCTCCTTGGAGTATGTGGTCTTTAGTGGAGCTTGAGATACCCACCGCTGCGCGGCAAAAACAGCATTTGTTACATGTGCATTAAACCCACTGTTGGGTTTCTTTAGGCTTGCTGCCTGACTTCTCTGGGGTCAGAGCACTAGGAATAGAGACACAGGATCTAGGGCCTACAAGCTTTCATCCACAGCCAACACAAACGTTTGAGAGCTGGGAACAAACTGATAGGCCCTGAAATTTGAAAAGAAAGCAGCAGAATTGAAATTAATACATGTTTGATTTAGCTACAAACCTAACATTATGTCAAATGGTCAGCTGCAACTCAGGTCTTCTCTTGAGAGTTCTATGTGTGTTCTATTTATTTATGTGGTTTATTTGCATATGTGTAAGGAGATGTGGGGTGGGCTCTGAAAGTGAGCATGCCTAGAGCTCAGGAAGTCTTGAGGTGCCCAGTCTGGGGTTTGGCCACAAGCTTCTTTTCCTGAGTTGGTAGTAGGACCGCAGAATGTTGGAGCTGGGAGGACCTTCAGGATGGTCTGGCCCATCTCCCATCTATGTTCGGTTGGGGTAACTGAGACCCCACCAGAGGCAGAACCTCCTGATTTACCCCCATGACCCAGAAAAGCCCTTTCAAGGATGACAGCACCCAGCATCTGGGCTTCTCCTCTCAGCTGAAGCCAGTCCTTGGTGGGGCTGTGCCATCCTGGGGCTCCTGGCAGAGCTGGGTTAGAGACAGGCAGGCCTGGGGGCCTCCCCCTGCCCTCTTTCCTCTGCACCACCCTGTCTCCTGTCTCCTTCCTCATGGTTTTGAATTTGTTGACTCCTCTCTGAAAGTCTTTGGACCTTTTCTTTTTTTTTGAGATGGAGTCTTGCTCTGTTGCCAGGCTGGAGTGCAATGACGTGATCTCACCTCACTGCAATCTCCGCCTCCTGGGTGCAAGTGATTCTCCTGCCTCAGCTTCCTGAGCAGCTGGAACTATAGGCGTGTGCCACCACACCCAGCTATTTTTTTGTATTTTTAGTAGATATGGAGTTTCACCAGGTTGGCCAGGATGGTCTTGAGTTCTTGACCTCATGATCCGCCTGCCTTGGTCTCCCAAAGTGCTAGGATTATAGGCGTGAGCCATTGAGCCTGGCTGGGCCTTTTCTTGAATAAAGATTCCCCCTCTGACCTTAGGGGCACCAGAATGAGCACAAGGTTTCAGAGAGAGGTGGGATGAGGGAGGGTGGTTGGATTACAATCTGGGGACTTGCTGAGAGCACATTTTTTACGTTTAATGTTGTAAAGTGGTTGGATGGCCTGTCCTCACACCTGCTGCGGTTCCTAACCCCTTCCTGTGGTGTTTTTCCTTCCCCAGGGGCTCAGTACCCTTGGATTGGCCAAGACACCCCACCAGGTCCCTCCGACCCCCTAGGCTGCTCCGGAAAAGCACTCCCCCATCCCCTTGTGCTGAGTGGCCAAGCAGAAAGCGGAGGCTGGAGTGAATTTGTTCTGAGGTCTCAGTGGCTGCCAGCCTAATTGGCCATTGTGCTGGGGATGTTTGCATTTTTAACAAGAACACTTGGCAATTGGAAAGAATTTTTACTGTCTCTCCATCTCTCCTTGGTGCAGAGTCAATGCAATGATAAATGTTAAAACATTTAGTAAACTATAAAGTGCCAGGCAAATAAAAGGTAAAATAATTAAGGGTGAGGAGGAATTGTGGGAAAGATGGGGCTTAGGATGTAGTTGGCTGTGGGGGAAGGAAGAAGAGCAGACGGTCAGAGTAGTCAGAGTGGGAGGTGGCCTAGGGACAGCAGAGCCGAGAGCGGCTCCCCCTCTCGGCAGAGGGCCAGCTTCTCAGCCTTCAGACAGGGCCCCTCTGTACTTGCAGGACGAGCTGACCTTTAACTGGCCAAAAGATCCTGCTGGTTCCATCCCTCTGCCTGAGGGAATAGATTAGAAGGGAAAAAAGGAAGGGCAAGGGGGCAGGAGAGGCGGCAAGGACCTTCCCTTGCCAGCCCTCTGTCCCTTCTCCCTGCCTGTGGCAGCCTTCATGAGAGACAGTTTAGTATGTGTTTAAGAATGCGGCCTCTGCAGACAAACTACCTGGCTTAAAACCCCTTGACAAGATACCTTCCCCTGGGGCCTCAGTTTGTCTTGCTGTGAAATGGGGCTTCAGTTACCAAATCATTTTCAGCCCCTTGAGGGCAGCACAACCTGAGGAGCAGCTACGTGCCGTATTTCCTCAGGAGTCCCTGATACATCAATGTGGCCAGCGTGTCAGGCACCTGCAGACATGGCTAAGGGAGAAGGCCTGGGCTTACCACGCATCAGACCTGGCACCAAGAACTTGGTAGTTACCATTTCATCTGATGCTTCCAGTGATTCTGTGGCTGTTATTATGTCTGGATGGGGAAGCTGTAGCACAGAGGGGTTAAGTAACCTGCCCCAGGTTGCTAAGCCCGTCAAGAAAAGATTTAGGTTTCAAGCCACCGCACTGCCCACCGTGCTGTCCTGGGTTGGCTGACGTCCTAGGGGCCTGCTCTGGGCATCTGGTTGATGGCAGTACCTGGGTCTCACTGAGCCTAGGACCTCTCTAGCCAATACTCTCACCTGTGGACAGACAAGGTCACCCATCTGACTGTTAGGAAGAGGGAGGGTTAAGTGAGGGGGGGCTGTGCGTGGAGCATGGCACCCGGAGGCACTGGGCTTGCTCTGAGGCAGAATGTCAGTGCAGGCAACAGCTCAGCCCCTGCCCCACCCACAGAGAAGAGTGTGGGCCTCTCACTCTGGAATGCTTCTGATGAGTGGCTGGCTTCTCCAAACAGGTAGAGGGATGCATGTCCAAGGTGACCTGGGGCCACTTCTGAAAGTGGCCCCTTGCCTACCTCTTCTATTTCAGGCCCACTGCGGGAGGGTGCTAGTAGAAGCCAGACCATTCCCTCTGAAGCCCACCAGGTGACTAGGAGTGGAGGGCAGGGAGCACTGAGCCAGGCAGTCAGGAGCAGATGTCATCTCTGGCCTGTGTCCTCTTGTGCGGCCTGTGTCCCCACATTGCCTTCTCCTGGAAGTGAAGCATGGCCAGCACCAGGCTCAGAGCTCCTGGTCCCCCAGGAGGCCCTCCTGCTGCTCCTGACTTAACCTTTAGCTCAGGAACTGCTCTGCTTTTAACTCTCTCCTCATTGCCTGCAGTCCCCCAACCCAGCTCCAAGTTCAAGTTTACAGCTTGCAGCACTATGACACTTAGAGCCTTCTCCCAAATTCTGTTGAATTGCTATTCTCTGAAGGCTGACCTCTCAGGCTCAGGGGGCCAGGCCAGTCATAAAGCCCACGAGGGAAGGGACTTGCCAAAGGGGCAGGAAACCCCCATGTATGGATCCTCCTTGGCATTAGCTCAGCTCAGCCTGTACTAACCCCATATCCTGAGTGAAGACCCTGGAAGTAGGCAGAGGTTAGCAATCTTGTCTGGGGTCATGAGACAAGAGGTGGAGTTGATATTGGAATCCAAATCCCTTTCTACCTCCCTTGGAGCTCAGCTTATCAGCACCCCCAAACCCACACCCCTAATTCATTGAGGTGGCTCCTTCAGGGCGGTTGTCCCACTTCTCAAGCCCTAATGATGACAGGGACAGACAACCACACAGGGCAGCCTGTTTCACTGTGGGACGGGTCCAGCTGTGCCTCTGTGTAGCAAACTGAGGCTGTGATAGAGACTTTGGGCTCACCTGCACTTGGGCCAGAAGAAGGGGGCGCATGATGAGGGTGAAGAATCAAATGGAAGCTCAGTAACAAGGACCTCCCACCAGATGATGTTCTCTGCTATGGGACAGTGGCCAACAGCAGAGTGCCTGCCATCTTGGGGACCCTTTACTTCCAGAGCAGTGCCTTCTGGTGAGCCTCATGCCTGAAGTATTATTAGTCCGTTCGGGAAGCCACAGCAAAATGCCGCAGACTGGGGAGCCTGTGCCACAGAAATGAATTTTCTCATAGATTTGGAGGCTACAAGTCTGAGATCCAGGTTTCGGCGGACTGGTTTCTCCTGAGACCTCTCTCCTTGGCTTGGAGATGCTGTCCTCTCCCTGTGTCTTCACATCGTCTTCTTTCTGCATGTATCCGCATCCTCATCTCTTCTAAAAAAGACCAGACATATTGGAGTAGAGCTCACCATAATGATCTCTTTTCACCTTAATTGCCTCTTTAAAGGCCGTTATCTCCAAATACAGTGGCATTCTGAGCTGCTGGGGGTTAGGACTGCAACACAGGAATCTGAGTGGGAAAGAATTCAGCTCATCACACCTGAGAGGGCGTTTTCCGGGTCATATGTATTTGGATGCCCCTGGCCTTTGATACTGAGTGGGTAGGAAGGGAGGGTCAAGGATGGGTTGTGGGGAGAGGTCTGCTCCCCCCCTTGCGGGCGCCTCTGCCTTTCTCCAGTTAGGTCTGCCATCTTGGTGTTCTGGCTTACACCAGTTTCACAGCCTCCAGAAGCCCCATTAGCAGCTTGGCCTGAGTTCTGACACCCCGTGCCCAGATTCCAGGTCCCCATGGGTAGGGGTGGCGCTGTGTTTTTGCTTCTGCAGAATAGAGCAGGCTCCAAATTCCTCTGTAGTGCTCCAGGGCAAGCGTTCTCAGAAGCAAGCCCTGGACCAAGGGATGTGGGCTGCGCTGTGCCCCTGAGAAGC